TTTATTAATACTTAAATGCAGGCGAGTCAAATATGTTTCCGCTCATTCTATTGTCAGTGTGGCACAGTGAAAGGAAGGTAGGTTTTGGGACAAGACTCACTATGTAACTTTAGATACAGTACTCGAAGGCATCCACGTCCCAGACTTTGGAAAACGAGCCATTTATTACTTACCTAAGTGTTGCAGAGACACTAAATGTGAAAATATATGTGAAACCACTGGCCTGAGGAAATACAGAAAGCTGATTTGCTATTTTCCGCCCACCTTACCTGCCATCCGAAGCATCATAGCTTGAAGAGGGGTCAGCTCCTTCATGTTCTTCTTTTTCTTCCTTGATTTTCCAGGCATATCTGCAAATCGCACACTCAGACCTAAGGGGTCAGGAGGGAGTACACAACATTCAACTAATGCTTATCATATTAAACACTATTAAGTACTAGATACAGTGGATGCCCAGGTTATAACCACATGAAGAACAGTACATGAAGTGTAACCTAGTAGTAAACATACAAGGGGGTTCAGAGAAATGATGGAAAATGCAACCGAAAGATGATAAGACTTTTCATAAACTTGATGCTTCCTCTTATAGTTGAGATCAAAGAACTGAAATACTATTAATAACTATGCTGATAAAACTGAAAACCTAGATATAAAAAGAAGTAATTTTCTAGAATATAAATTACTACAATAGAAACATATAAAATAAAAATGGCAGTCAAAGCTGTAATCATTAAAAGGCATTAGGCCCCCCAAAATTTTATGAGACAAAGTCAACCAAACTTCATTTACAGAAATGTCTCATTAAAGGTCTTATGAAAGATACAATGCTATCCAACTTATGAAGCCAGCCTTAATCCTGATATAAATTAAATTACCGACTCAATTAAAATGTAAACAAATGTATTCCAATAGTATTTAAAAACAAATACACATAAACAGCTAAGGTTGATACCAGAAATGCAAGATCTCCCAATGTACTTCACAATGTACAAAATAAATGATTCTCACCAACATTCTGATAAACGCATAAGAAATAGCTATGATAAACTCTTAATAAACTAGGAATAAAAGGAAGATTTTTAACCTGATAAAGGCTACTAGGCTACATACTGTACACACCACGTCTAATGGGACAATATTAGGAACATTTTCAGGTTGACATTCGTAAGATGATGTTATAGAATTAGGTACCCACAAAATAAACGCTAAAATCTTCACCTGTGTACTTGTAAATATAACTCTCGTTTGCAAATAGGTCTTTCATTACGTTAATGCCACATCATCTAATCACTTGTGTTATAAGGACAACAGCGTGTGCACCACTGTCCCCCCAAGAGACAGGTGTCATGTGAAGGTCATCTATAAATCAAGGAATCAATGGAAGACATAAATTAGGAGAGGCTCACAGGACATGAGGACATGGCCAAGATCCTAATTTGGATTTTCAGTCCCCAGAACTCTGAGAAAATCATGTTCTGTTCCTTAAAGTCATCATTTGTTTCTTAGGAAACAAAAAATATAAATTCCAAGGGCAAGGTCCTAAGTTTTTCTGTACGTATATCCGTAGTGCATAGAAAAATGCCTTGCAGGTAGTAAAAATATTCTAAATATGAACCTAATGAGCTCCAAATCATAAGTAGAACATTTATTTTTAGTAGATGCATGATTTTTTTGCCCACAGGTGAGTCTTTTTTAATACCTAGAAAAGAAAAATAGTTTCTATCGATTTGAGTCCTTATAGGTCAAAACCTTTGAAATCCTGGATCTTAAGCTGCTTTCAAGAAACTTAAAATTACTTTGATAGATCCATTAACAAGTTAGGACATTAAGTTTATATGCGATCATGGAACTTTTCCCCTGCACGCACCTGACTTTTTTTCTTCACTGTTGTCTCTCTCATTATCATCCCGATGCACAAATTCATCCCCCTCACTTTCTCCATCCGATCTGTCAGTGTCACTGTCATCAGAGCTGTCATCATGCTTATCTTGGTCCATATCCTCCGGATAGCCGTCATCTTCACTGGTGCTAGAAACATCATCATCATGACCTCTCTGAGCTGAAAAGGGGAGGAGCATAGAAAAAGTAGTGTTAGAATCCTTTGCTACAAAGTACCCAGAAATACAGAAAAATATTATGCTCACTCCTTAACCTAGCATGCAGTAACTTAATAGAAAATTTCCATTTAGAATGATCACATAATCCGACTGTATGTAACACCCTAAATTCTGATGACAAAGCCAAAAAGATGAGTACACACATCCTAAGAAATTAATTAGTAAGACATTTAACACTTTTAAAGCTTACCTGAAAGCACAACAAACATTTCTAAACTTCCTCATATATGCCTTTTACTTGGGTACGTCCTATGATTTATCCACCTACACGCAGCCCCTGGCATAGTGCGTTCCACATTAGACCGCTATTCTCAGGGTCAGCAGTTCCAACACATTAGTCACCTGGGGAAGAAAGAGGAGGCTCTCTCTTCCTGTAAAGTTTTACAGCTTTGAAACCCAAGAAGGCATTCTACTTTGACAACCAACTTGATGGCAGTGGGTTTATGTACAAATCTCATTTATTTTCTAATTCCTTAGAGTAGTGAACATGTCAAATGGGGCAAACAAACAAACAAACAAACGAGAGCAAAAAGAAAGAGCAAAGGAAACAGGCACCGCTTACCAAGGTCAGGACTATATAACATATCTTCGTCACGCCTCCTAGAGGGAAGATCTAGAGCAAAGCCCACTTTACGGCCATACATCTGCAAGACTTGAGGAGGAGGGGGCCCTGGAGGAGGACCAGGAGGTTTTCTGCCAGAGGGCAATCGTGGAACACCATGTCCAAGAAGAGGAAGTATTGAAACTGCCCGGGTTGGAGGTCTGTACAGAAAAATGTGTAGTAACTACATTAATAGTAATGAGGTATTTATTTCCTCTTCTACACAATTTTAATGGATTTATGTAGCATGTAAATAAATTATTATTTTCACCACAAGAGATGCTTTTAATAAAGATCATTCGATTATGACAGTGCTCCCTTACCCATAGGCTGAAGTCTTCTTAAGGATGGAGGGTGGCTGAGCACCAGGAAGTGGAATGTCCTGGATCAGTATGTTGGAAGGAGCATGGGGCATATCTGGCAAAGGAATACTCTCAACTTCCACATGTTGAGCATTCTGAAAGGGATAATTTTAAAAATATATTCACAAATTTTATACTAAAAGTCAGCATTAACTCCAAGAACCCGAGTTTTCTTCCTACCCAACAGAAATATCATGTAAAAATACAAAGCCTCAAAAAACAAAATAAAAAAAACTAAAACAAAGCCTCAAATACTTCCCCCAAAGAACTAAAACCCAACTGCTTTTCACCCTTAACAATGGAATCTTTTTAGTTGTTGAAATAACTGCCATTTGCTTTATTTATGTATTGGATATCTGTACAGAGACGTCTACCGCACCTTCCTATTATCTCTGTCTTCTCACCAAACTGAAAGACCCAACCTCGCTCTGTACAAACTCACAGAGCATATGCATCAAGTGGACATCTGACATGTGTCTCAGTGATAATAAAGCACAACAGCAGACAATCATTAAAAACATAAAGATCAACAACGGCTATAAGAAAAACAGACACACTGACAATCAAATTCTTATTTTTAAGTGCTACTAAGTAATTTTAAAAGTCTACTCTTTAGATTTATGCACAAGATGATATCTTAAAATGGGTACAAATTATAATTATGAATAGAAGTAAGACTGCAAAGGCAAGGTCACACATACTGTTGGCTCTTGGGTTAGAAAACCATGAGCACTAAGGAAAAGTGAGACCAAAAGGGGGATGAAATAGTCTACATGACCTATTTTCTCTTAACATCAAAGAGAGAAAAGAGAGTCTACTTATACATGTATTGATTGTACAGGGACATTCTTTTTAGGCAAAACAAACAAACAAATGATAGAGCTCATTAAAACAAAAGTATCAACAGAGCTTCCACTAGACCGTACCTGTAAGATTAATTCTAAAATGAAAGGAGGGGAAATGTCCTAGCATACTCAAAAAAGTAAAAATACACAAGGCCCTGTCTTGTTCATACTCCTTGCTCAGTTCAGAGAGACAAGAGAAGAAAGCAATTTACTCCATTAAACCAGAAACCTGAAAGGTTAACAGGCTTAGTCCAGTACTTAGCATAGCAATTTCATGGCAGAAAACACACAAGTAATGACAAATTAACAAAGCAATGTGAAAATGAAAGTGCTGCCATTTTAAAACTGAGAAGTGTTTGAAGTTTAATTCTTTCATTGTGGAGAATTGACACCATTAAAACCAACATGATTATTTTCCACTCATTCAATAACCGAGGTAACAATATTATAAAAATGTTTTAAAAACTTGTAAATTCATAATGATCAGATTTGCTAATCATCATATAGTGAGTTTAAACTTGATTATTAAAAAAATAGCTTTATTTCCTTAAAAAATACTTCTTCATTCACCATTGAATGTCAGACCTGTCATCCTGCA